TTAATAATTTTTTTACATAATTTAATTTTTAAACAAGTTTGGGTAATTATCAAATAGTAGATATGTATTAGGGTTCAAGTTAAGATAGTAAATTTCAAAAATATTTGAGATATGGGTGCGGATTAGGATTCAAATAATTGGATACCATGAAGGATATTTTAATAATTTTTTTGTATAATCGGATTTTTAAACAGGTTCAGATAATTATTAAATAGTGAGTATGTATTAAAGTTCAGGTCAAGATAATAAATTTCAAAAATATTGAGATAGTTGTAGGATTCGGATACTCTATTTATTAATCAAATTTAGATATCCCATAATTAACAGATACCTTAACAGTTCGTTATGGTTTTTGGGTATGATGCTTTCTTTTTTTCCCTCAAACAATAAGGTGGATTCATTGAATAAACTGCTCTGGGCAGTAAGAGTACATCTGAACTGGTCAAGGCAGCAACGGTGCAGTAAAATTGCTTGAGAAATTACAATCGGAGCACACCAAAACACCAGCAACACAAACTAAAGGATGGTAATACATAAACCAAAATTATAGGCTAAGCTTGAAAATAAGAATGGACATATCGAAGTAAACTGGCCAAACAAGCTGCCACCATGCTGTAAACATCGTCTCACTGTCGACACCATACTTGGCAGGTATGTCCACCAATGAGTTCTGCTTGCGAAGGGTTTGCTGGGTAACCAATCCTCTAAGGACAGCCCGAAGTGTGTCTGTCTCAAGAAAATATAGCAGATATTCCAGGGGCTAGGATTCACTTTCTCAACCCAAGTGTCACGATGGTGCTTTTTTTATTTCTTTCTTTTGCATAGATTAAATCTTCTGCTTCATCAACATTCATTTTTTTAGCATTTGATTAGTTATCAATTCTAAATGATAACAGTAAAGACATGAGAGTAATTAGCTGCTAAGAAGCAGAATCATCAAACTAAAAGCTATCCCAGAATGTGGGAATAATTTATGTATAAACTGCACTAAGTATCAGCAATTATCTATTTATCTTTTTGCTGTCTTCTAAAA